TATTATCAAACAAAGAGGTTTGATTATTGTGTGCCATCAGCAAATATGGAATATTTAAGCTTGTTGTACAGGGTTAATTGATAGTATCAATATCATTGTTTCAAGTCTGTTGTTTCACCACACACAATGGTTATTTTTTTTAGAGACTTCGAAGTACCAGTATTCACAATAATTGGCATTTCACTATCAAAAGTCCTATTTAAGTACAGTACGGTATAAGTTGTCTTTTCCATACCGATGCTGGATCCTCAACGCCGCACTGACGCCATAAAAACGCACGTAGGCGCAGATTAGAATGACTAATAATACAACAACAGTCATATTCCTCCAAAGGCAAAGCGAGCGAGACAGACAGACCAAAAGACGAGCCAAGTCGTGCTCGTTCGCACTCTGGATCTTGTCTCTTTTTCGTACCATCTGAGACAACTATACGGCGTATGTACATAGACCGAAAGGTTCCACTAATTAATCTCAGATAAGATAGTATAATCATGGAGGTATTTATACCTCCATGATATATATAATACATACTTCAAGTATCGACTAATGCACGCCTTCGTGTCGGGATTCAATATTTCGAAATTAATTATGTCATCATCAGGACCTGGTGATGACATAATTAATGTCGAAATATTGAATCCCGACACAATGGCGTGCATTTCGATACTTGGTAGTATGTATTATACTATCTTGTGTACATAGACTTGCAACAAGTCTCTAATTTATTGATTTTTCGTAGTGTGAGCAAATTTTGGAAAGCGCCACCGGCGTCAGTTTATGTCGAGAAACTTTTTGATGCGAATTTGATATAATTCCAGAAAAAGTATACTATGGAACGCCATGCAAATAAGTAAAAATGGAAGAAGATCGTTGGCCAAAGCTGTTACTTAAAGCCCTAACTGCATCTGAAAATATCAATAACTTGAGTTATAAATTACTTGGTTGTGTCGATAATATATTTCGGAAATGTAACATCGAGAGTATTTTCCATTAGATTAAAAATAATCAAGATATACCCAATCCTATAATATATATGGGCAGCTGAAATAAAACATTCTCTAAAGCAAAATTCGTTAAATTGCTGGAAGGATGATAATAAAAGCAAACATTCTATTGTAAAATACTCATTAAGTAAAACGTCACGAATTATGGAGGAGTACCTTCTTGACGGTACTGATTTTGAAGGAGCATCAATAAAATTTAAGCTCCGTTCAAATACCCTCCCTCTCCAACTGCGAACTAATAAATGGTCTAATGATCAGAGTGACACTGGAATTTGTAAGGTGTGCAATGAATTCCATTGAAGACATTGATCATTTTCTGCTTGTTTGCCCAGTTCTTGAAAACATTAGAATGATGGGAATATTTCACTTTAAAAATAGTCTCCAATCACTAAACTTTCACCACGTTTGGGATAAATTTAACTCCTTAAATATTACAGAAAAAGTATGTTTTATTCTTGGCAATAAAAATGAAATTATTGTGGAAATTTATAAATTTAGCAAATCATTGTCTAAAAACCCGTGGAAAGAAAGGTCATTATTATTGCATGCGTCTACCTCATAAGTAATATTTTGTGTTGTGTTTTGATTTGAAATGATTTTTTTATGTGCTTATCTCTCTCTGTATCTTAATAACGTAATAATTTGTTAACTTAAAAAAAAATATTAGTATTACTTCAGTATTGTTTTTTATTTAGTGGACTTTGCTTTAACACCAATACAGTACTGTATACTGTTATTGTATGATCGTTTTGTATAACTTTTAGTATCTTTTATTTTAGTTGTTTTTTCTTTCTCATTGAATTCACCAAATTGTTGTGTGCCGCGAAACGAAAGTGTATGTTCAGTTGAATAAATAAATAAATATGGAACGCCAATGGTGCCAAAATCGATTTATTCTTAAGCATTTTAACTGATTAAGACAAAGTTTAGGGACTGGAACCAAGTCTAGTATGTACAGTACTGTAGTTGTCTCAGGTACAATCACGAAGCAATGAGACGGACTGTTTAATCGCACTACTGTGTCTGTAATTGTTCTATGCCTGTCTCTTATACACATCTAGATGTGTATAAGAGACAGCGCAATAACAAACCAAACCAAACTACAATAATGACCGGCGTTTAACAACTATTACGTTATGACGTTGTTTATACAATAAAACCGTACCATGCATCGATACTATGATTAAACATCCGGTGTGATATTGTGAACACGCAACGACATAAACGGACAGCGTATCTATTTCCTTGTCGAGAAATGTACTATATTACAAGCCTGGTAATCACTGTTGAACGAAATGTTTAGTTGTTCATGTGTTGTTCCTATAATAATTTTCTTGAAACTTGAAACAAATTTGTATTTTATATACTTAAAAAATGATAGAAAACATGAACCCATTTTAAAATCGTTTTAAATTCTTGGCCTGCGCTTCTTCTTCTGGTTTGTGAAAAAAATCTGACTTCCAAAAGACTCCAAAAGTAGAAGTAACAGGACCCCCTGACCCCCTCTAGATCCGCCAATTACTAGTACCGTACTTAAAAGAAAAATGTTCTTAATTATTTTATACAATTTTCGAGATGGTTGCTACAATTCTTAAAACACAATGATTATCGTGGTTATTATATTAAAGTAATTATTATATTTAGAATTACATTGCATCGCACAGTGTTTTGCAGCCTTTTAGAATTTAAGCAGTAAGCATGGTTGGCTTTCGTTCTAACTAATCGTCTCAGTAGTGTTTCAGGAGCGACCATAAAACTTGCTACCACCAGGCAATGATGAATACCGTACTGTACCGTGTTCCTTCAAACGCAAGAGGGCGTCACAATAACAAATTTGGCAGTTTGTCCTAGGATTTGTGCACATCATCCTCCAAATATGGAACGCCAATGGCTGTCTCTTATACACATCTAGATGTGTATAAGAGACAGGTATAAGTTGTCTTTTTCATACCAATGCTGGATCCTCAACGCCGCACTAACGCCATAAAAACGCACGTAGACGCAGATTAGAATGACTAATGATACAACAACAGTCACATTCCTCCAAAGACAAAGCGAGCGAGACAGACCAAAAGACGAGCCAAGTCGTGCTCGTTCGCACTCTGGATCTTGTCTCTTTTTCGTACCATCTGAGACAACTATACGGCGTATGTACATAGACCGAAAGGTTCCACTGATTAATCTCAGATAAGATAGTATAATCATGGAGGTATTTATACCTCCATAGTATATATATTAATGTCGAAATATTGAATCCCGACACAATGGCGTGCATTTCGATACTTGGAGTATGTATGTATTATACTATCTTATGTACATAGACTTGCCACAAGTCTCTAATTTATTGATTTTTCGTAGTATGAGCAAATTTCGGAAAGCGCCACCGGCGTCAGTTTATGTCGAGAAACTTTTTGATGCGAATTTGATCTAATTCCAGAAAAAGTATACTATGGAACGCCATGAAAATTAGTAAAAATGGAAGAAGATCGTTGGCCAAAGCTGTTACTTAAAGCCCTAACTGCATCTGAAAATATCAATAACTTGAGTTATAAATTACTTGGTTGTGTCGATAATATATTTCGGAAATGTAACATTGAGAGTATTTTCCATTAGATTAAAAATAATCAAGATATACCCAATCCATTAATATATATGGGCAGCTGAAATAAAACATGCTCTAAAGCAAAATTCGTTAAATTGCTGGAAGGATGATAATAAAAGCAAACATTCTATTGTAAAATACTCATTAAGTAAAACGTCACGAAGTATGGAGGAGTACCTTCTTGACGGTACTGATTTTGAAGGAGCATCAATAAAATTTAAGCTCCGCTCAAATACCCTCCCTCTCCAACTGCGAACTAATAAATGGTCTAATGATCAGAGTGACACTGGAATTTGTAAGGTGTGCAATGATAATTCCATTGAAGACATTGATCATTTTCTGTTTGTGAAAACATTAGAATGATGGAAATGTTTCACTTTAAAAATAATCTCCAATCACTAAACTTTCACCACGTTTGGGATAAATTTAACTCTTTAAATATTACAGAAAAAGTATGTTTTATTCTTGGCAATAAAAAGGAAATTATTGTGGAAATTGATAAATTTAGCAAATCATTGTCTAAAACCCGTGGAAAGAAAGGTCATTATTATTGCATGCGTCTACTTCATAAGTAATCTTTTGTGTTGTTGTGTTTTGATTTGAAATGATTTTTTTTTAATGTGCTTATCTCTCTTTATCTTAATAACGTAATAATTTGTTGAATTTAAAAAAAATTAGTATTACTAACAGTATTGTTGTTTTTTATTTAGTGGACTTTGCTTTAACACCAATACAGTACTGTATACTGTTATTGTATGATCGTTTTGTATAACTTTTAGTATCTTTTATTTTAGTTGTTTTTTCTTTCTCATTGAATTCACCAAATTGTTGTGTGCCGCGAAACGAAAGTGTATGTTCAGTTGAATAAATAAATAAATATGGAACGCCAATGGTGCCAAAATCGATTTATTCTTAAGCATTTTAACTGATTAAGACAAAGTTTAGGGACTGGAACCAAGTCTAGTATGTACAGTACTGTAGTTGTCTCAGGTACAATCACGAAGCAATGAGACGGGCTGTTTAATCGCACTACTGTGTCTGTAATTGTTCTATGCTCGACTGAATTTGAGGAGTCACGTGACGTAAAACAGCAATCAGGCTGCTTAATTTTCTTTCATTGGCCCGACCCTGATTTTCTAGCCGTCTCTTTTTTTGTGGAAAAAATATGAAAATCGACTAAAAAATGCCGATAATAAACGAAAAATGGTAGTTTTTTTTTATCTTGAGCACCGGGAATAAGATATAAAGTGCACCACCTACACTACAAGTGCGTACTTTCTGCACGTACGTTGCGTAGTGAATAGCTTACTACATTGCAATGGACTAAACCTACCTGCAGAAAATAATCGCTTCCCCCACAGTCACTAGTCACATGACAAAAAAAAAATAAATAAATATGTTGCCAACGGGATATCGCCATGCGTTTTTAATTCGAAATCCTGTCAAAATATTTGCATCTTGGAAGAAAGTAATAAATTCATATGGTAGTGAATGTTCTCATGATTTTAACTTGATGGAGAATAACGGTGTCATTATCCCTAAAAAATACGCATTTGGAGAAAGCTTTGAACTTTACGAGCATCTGGTCAAAACAGGAATCGAACCAAACCCTGTCATTATTGATTCTGATGATCTTCTAGAAAACCCAGAGTCGATTTTAAGGCAGTTTTGTGATGGCATAGGAATTCAGTATACAGATAAACTGATGAGTTGGAATGCTGGAGATAGTATAGTACAGGAATGGAAGATACCGAAGGTGTATTTACAAGGAAACCAAGTATTTGGTTATTATAAAAAAGCATTTTCTAGCCGGAATTTTGTCAAGCCTAGTCCCACGCCTGATCGATCTGACTTGCCAAATGATGTCAACACTTGTATTGACGCAGCAATGCCGTATTACGAAAAAATGTACGCTCTAAGATTGACAGCAGAGAAGAAGGATACATGAGAGTTATGTAACTTGAAATGTAATTTAAAAAAGAAGTCAAGTGTTAAATGCTGAATATGAATAATAAAAAAGTAATTAAAACAAAACATGAGCTTTAACATTGATACATATCAAATTTCATATTTATTGCCACCTTCAATTTCATTGTATACAAACGAGCGTCTCATATGCTACATTCATATGTCCAACAAAATAATGACATTTAATGGTGATGCTAAAGTAAATGCTATATTTAACCTGAAAAGGTATAGCAAGTCAGATTATAGAAAAATCGAGGCTATTATACCTTGGATTATTTGTATACCAAACCATAATATGGTAATCTGTCATAATAAATACTAGACTTCAACATTCAAACGACTGGTGGGTATTCCTCTATATTTGTCGCATTCTTTGGAAGACTAAATACTCCCCTCTATCAAGCTTTTTATCAAATTTTATTTGTCAAAACTTTTAAAATTCAGTCCAAAATTTGGTGAAATTTAACCATCCGATTGGCTGCCTGCAGCCAGTTTTCACATTGCCGTATTTTAAAGTGAAATTAGCATTGATACAACTAAAACATACACATTTCAAGTAAGATAATGATCTTACTGCATTCACCTAGACAGTACAATGGATCATTCCGAATGGTAAAACTTAACAACTGACCAATTAAAACGTGCTAGTTACAGGCTCAGGAATACTGTACATGCACGTTTTACAATCACACAAGTTTATGTACTGTATGTTTACAGTATTTTTTTTTGTGGGATCTTAGAACAATATCCAAGGGGTGGAGCTTTAAGGGGAAAGTCATCCTCTTGGTTCTATGTAATTACTGTAGTTTAAGTTAGTCCATTCACAATCTTTAAAGCTGTACTAGTCTTTAGGTCTCTACTACCATACTATCTATTCCCAGTGTACAGTACTTGCTATTCCCAGCACACTGTCACTCTGCCCCATATGCTACTAGTATGCTGCAGTCCCTACCATTACTTTTCCTAGCAAACTGGCACCACCATGGCATACTGCCTGTAGCACATTATTTTTCCCTCCCCTTGTGTTATACTGACTTCCCCACTGCAAAGGTGATAGTGCACCCCTAGTGTATCGTCCAGTCTTTAGCACATTGTCCCTCTGCAATAGAATCATGTCACTCCCCTAGCATATTTTCCCTTCTCATAGTATAGCACTGCCCTGTCACTACCATACACACATATTTTTTAAAATGTCAAAGAATGCATTTTCTATTTTCAAACTTGGTGGTTCATGGTATCCAAAAAAAAATCTATATAAAAATGTGATTATTAAACCAACAAACATGTATACACAGTAAATTGTAGTATTTTCATTACTATATACAAAAAGCACAATAATTAAAATATTTATAAAGCATTATTACATGAATATGTACATATACATATATATATTAGGAAAAATATTTTATTCCAAAACTGCAAAATTGCTCTAGTAACAGGTGTTCAAGCACACATAAGAGCAATTTTAGGCAATTGAATATTTCAGAATTGCCTATCTCTAAGCTATAAATGGGATTACATAAATGTGTAGGCATATTACATTATATAAAACTTACTGTTGGCACTATATACATTTATGTACACTATATATTACATGAATACTTTAAAAAGCTAATCAAGTAAGCCATGCAAATACATTCTCAACCTGTTTTAAACTGATCTCCATTTTTAAGTCTCTCAAAATCTTGCACTCAAAAAAAGACATTACCTACTTCCCTAAAAAACCTACAATTTGTAACTTCTTATATTCCATATGTATTTCAAAATGTTTAATTTTGACTACATCAAAATATAAACAATAGAAAAACTGCACAAATTCCCTGTGTTTTCCTCTTTAATATTTCATGCATTTACTTCAGCATTTAGAAGGACCTACCATTTTCATTATGGGTAAACAAAACCAATTTGGTGAAGACTGAAAAAGCAAGCAAAGCAAAATATTACCTTGTGACAATCACAACCAAAACAGTAATGGACAAGTCACTTTCAGCTGTGATTTGTCAAGATGCGTCAATGGTCAGAGTTATCGAAAATGCAATGTACTTACAGCGCAGTACCTACTTTTGTGGTGTTTTGTTTTATCGAAATGCTTTGTTTTAAGGCAGCAACGTTTCAAAGGAATGTTGAACATAGATGGGATGCCTTAATTCTTTTGACCATTAAATCAGATGGCTCACTTGGCCAGTTGTTATATCAGACACATTTTCCTCAGTTATTTTTTTACTTCTGATATATTCACATCCAATTTTAAACTCAATTTGGACTGGGGTGTAGGAGTTGAGAAACAGATCTAATTCACATTAAAATTACACACATAATTATGGTACACTTGGAGAGATTAATCCTTTAGTTTGAAGTACACAATCAATTAGAAAACACAGTACATTGGAACAATAACAGTCTAAAAAAAACCAGTTGAAACAGTAAAAAGTTAGTTGAACAAAGGAAAAATCTAAAACATCCTCCCACAGGATCTACTTTACTCTTTTTTTTTCTTTTTTAATTTATTCAGCAAAGTTTATCATTTGAGACCCTGTATTCTAATTCCTTAAAATACAAAATTGGGAAAAATGTTTCTTATGAAAGTGGGAAGTGAGGGGGTGGGAGGAGGGAGACAGGAGAGGAATTAATCTGGGTGTTAGGGGATTCCGTCCAGAACTGGAGCATTCTAGCATGTAAAGGTGGGTTTTCTCAATATATTTGGATGGTCCATGGTTTGGGTTATCAAAGGGGGTTACTGTCTTGCATAAAAATACTGGCAATCTCTACCAAAAACGGAGTCCCTAGGATTTATAGTATACTCTTCTCCTCTCTTCAAAAATGGAATAAATCACAATTAATACCAGATCAAGGTGTTTGACAAATATGCAGTGAAAGAACAATGTGAAGGTATGTACACAATATTGCAACATATTTAGACAAGTTAAATAATAATAAATATCAAGATAGGTGTAATTATAAGTATAATGAATGATATAGGATTAAAATGAGTAAATGTTACAACCAATTTGAAATGAAATTGAAATGATGTTATGAAAGCATTAACTGATAAAATATATTAGTATTTTTGCAGGTGAACATGACCAAATTAAACACTTGTGACCCTTATACAAAATAGAGCAACAAAGAGTTAATTAGTCAAAAATTGTGAAAGAAATCTAATATAAGGGCATAATGTCATGTTTAAATCTTGAAAATGTACTTTTCATACTCTCATTAGTAACTTCCATTTAAATACGGTGATATATTTTAAATGGTGGTGTCCCACAAGCTCTATCAAACCATGGAGGAATAAACCATGATCTACCAACATCTTCAACCGGAAATTCTAGTTATAGACCTTTTTCCTCGTCTTCCAACTGGGAGAATCGCCAGTTAGTTCATCCATCTCGAGGATGTTTTGTTGTCTTTTTCAATCTCGTTCCTTTAGTTGGCAAGCAGAATATTTAACTGTTGATTCATTTATCAAAGGGATGTTGTTGGAATGCCACGCTCATCCTGAGAGAAAAAGTAAAACCAAGCATGTCAGAAAAACAAAATAAATACATTATAGCTTAAATATAATAAAGAATAACAGAAAAACATAATACAGTTATTATAAACTATATTATTAATAACCATAACAACAATAAAATTACTGTAAACACGGGGGTCGGGGGCCAAGTTGGAAGAAGCCACTTCCGAGAGATTTAATTGTTTTAATGAGCTTTCCTAAACACATCTAATATTATTTTGCTGTGCATGGTAATACCCAAGTGATACCCAATGGAACTGACTCCTAGGAGGTAACTGATAATACAATAGAATAACAACATTGAAATTTTGTAAATTTGCGGGTGATGGGTTATTTTCTGGAAGCTTGTTTGCTCCCAGAAGTTCCAGAGGCCTTCCTGATTCCTGGGAGACTCCTGTGATTTGTAAGAGACTGTGACCCCCAATAAATAATGATAACAAATTTAGCAAAAACAAAAGGTATTTTTACCAATATTAATGTGATGGATCGGAAAGTTTTCCGCTATTTCTTTTTAATCGTTATTGGTGGAGTATCACATTGCTATTGCTTTTCACTGCTATTGCTACTGCTTTTGTTTTATTGGTATTCACTTGTATTTGCATACTAGGTGAAGTTTATAATCCATTGGCTGCATGAGCGTTGTATCGGCACAAAGGCATTTGGCTTATGTCGGAGTAAGACATGTTTTTTTTTTTTTTTAAGATGAATATTTTCCGATACTGTGAGTAACTTAATATATTTCTAAATAGTTGTTTGCGATTATAATATACAGTAATATGATGGATTATAATGATTGTTACTAGCTAAATTGATATATGTATATTTTGCGGTATTTGTAACAGATGAAAGTGCTGTTGGAGAATTTCGCCTAATTGGCATTCTGGTCTTGTTTAGTATAAGAATACAGACAACATCTACTGTTAAAAATCTGTATTATGTGTGGTTACCAATGACTTAATTAATCTTTATTTTAATACATCTAGTTTTGTCCTGTGATGGCCAATGCTATAGAAAGTTTTTTTGAGAAGTTGTGATTCCATCTCTCAACATTATATTTAGGGTTCAATTACCACTTTGAGCCAATAATTTACATTGCAAGTGCATCTAATTTTTTCTTTCTAATTAAGTTTTTCAGTGCGAGAAACTATCCTGCTATTTGCAGGAAGTGAATCCAAGAACCTGTGCACGATGGCCACCTTAATCACCAGTTACAGCTCTGCTCTGGTGCAGCAGTAGTAGCACTCACCACTGAAGTCACTGATTGTCCAAGTTCCTGCAAGAGGGCTTCTTCTGAGAGTCTCTTGATCTCTTCAAGCTCAAGTCGCAGAAGTTCCTCCTCTTGCGGATCTAACCTTGAACTGTTTGAACTGGAATTCTGAGCGGATAATGGCAGATGCAAAGAAGATTTGGAACCTGTAAAGAATTTGAGACAGTTTAGATTATTTGCAAAAAAAATTGTTAAAGCACATTTCAAGCACAGATTTCTAATATAATGTGAGAAATATACAAATATTGTCTGCTCATGAGGGGAATAGTGAATCCACTGCTCCAAGGTGATGTGGATACCATAGTCTACTACCTTCCAGAGGGCCGATAGTAGGCTATCGGTCCCCAAATCACGGAGGGGCTACAGATTTCACCATTCCCCGAAACCCAGAGCTGTTAATATTTGTTTTATATATCTCATACATAGATTCTACGAGGCCTTAAAAAAGTAATGAAGTGTACCCACCAAGTAAAGCCTACTTCCTAGGCATTCAAAGGGTCAATCCCTCTCACCGTAGAGGTCGCGTTTTATAAATTATACAGGGACGTTATAAATGGGGCCTAGAGATTACATCGCGATAGGGAAGAAACTTCCTAGGCCTACGTGGTCAAAGGGCTAATCTCTCACTGTAGAGGTCGGGTGTCAGGGACATTATAAGATTACATCGCGATAGTAAAAAAAGTACTCCCATTAACCTGATAGTACTTTTTTCCCACTGGAATTATGAACTATCATTCAACCTACGTCATAGTGATGGTTATTACCCAATTTTTAACCACTCAGATGCCTGAATTTTTGTATGCAGCATATAATATTTTTTATATTACTTGATGTATTAAACATGTATTGGTAAAGCAACATTTTTTTCACTATTTTCACAAGAGAAGTAGTTGGCGCATCGGTTGTGGCTTGGACTCCCAACCTCGAGGTCGGGAGTTCGAAACTCTCGCTGTGCAAATCACTTGGGCAAGGCACTTAATCTACAGTTGCCTCTCTCCACCCAGGAGTACAAGTGGGTACCTGGTAGGATCCAACACAACTGCGCTGATTACTAGCTGCAATATTATGGAATAATAATATAATTTAATTTAATATGGTGTTGAGTATGTGTTCCATATGTGTTTCATCCAATGACCGGGGTAGTAATATGAAGCGCTATATAAGAATGACATTATTATTACTATTATTTCACACAGCAAAACTGAAGACTATCTGTGACTGCAATAGATGAACTTTAATTATAAAATCATGAAATGTTATATTAAAAGCTAAATATAAAAGCAGAATCTTACTATCATAAGAATGTCTTTCACTAATATCTGACTTGTTGTCGTGTTCACTGCCTGACCCATCAAATTGATGCCCAGGAACCTCTAGAGATTCTTGGTGCCTTGTTGAGGCATTACTGTCCTGTGAAACCTCTAACGACCGTGAGGATGCCATACTGGATTCAATGGCGCTCTCCCGCTGTCCATCACTGTCAAATGCAAGATTTACAAATGCAAGAGGCGTTTGTAAATTATCTCCAACTGTCGTTGAAGATGAAGTTTCACCACAATTATTACTTGTGCCAGATGACATACTTTCCATGGTACTGCCCTTTTGTGATGAGTCTTCCTCAACTGCATGATCAAATGCAAAATTGATGTAACCTTCTTGTCCATTACTAATTGATGCCATTGTCTGTGTTAGTGAATAGATAGCATCACGAATAACGTTCCTGGACAGAGTAGAGGCAAACTTTTCAGTTAAGCTGTAACGTTTAACATCCTCGGGTGTGTCCGGGTTTGGCTGCACCGCATCAGCGGGTACATCATAGGTAGAACTGACCTGTGAAAATCGTGAGAGTGGTGTGGATTTCGGTAATGTTTCTCGACTGCTGAAGCTTATGTCCCGACTTACAACTCTTGGGCTACTTGATTTGGATGGTATTGCATATATTTGATCGGAATTGAAGCTGCTGGCTGAAAAATTAAATAAAATATTTATTAAAACATTTATTAAAAAGTAAATTAAATGAACAAATTTGGTTTCATTTGATATATTCACGATTTTCTGAATTTCTCAATTTGTACTCTGTATATTTTTAAATAATATTAATCATTTCAAGGGTTTTGGCATATTATCTTCTTCCGAAAATTATACAGACCAAACATTATCATCATTAAGAAGAACATAAAATTTTAAATTAACAAACATAAAAAGATAACAATTAAAGTCAGAAGTCAAAGAATTACAATCCCCTTCAATTCATGATTATGTTTGATTTTCAAACTTATCGATTTAATCAATTACAGTTTGAATTTCTCAATTTGTACTCTGTATATTTTTAAATAATATTAATCATTTCAAGGGTTTTGGCATATTGTCTTCTTCCGAAAATTATACAGACCAAACATTATCATCATTAAGAAGAACATAAAATTTTAAATTAACAAACATAAAAAAATAACGATTAAAGTCAGAAGTCAAAGAATTACAATCCCCTTCAATTCATGATTATGTTTGATTTTCAAACTTATCGATTTAATCAATTACACAGTTTGATGATCTTGTTGTAGCAATTATCGCTTCTGGAGACCCCAGAGGTACTCATACACTGTACTGTATATACGAGTGATTTTCATTGATAAATTTGGAAGTCAACATGGCATCACCTCCTGGCATTTAAAAAGAAAGTAACGATATTTAACTATCATTCAATTACTCATCAATTTCATAAAGAATTTGATGTTATCATAATTTCAATATATCTCCATCACCACTCCAGAAACTAATAAATGGGACAGTACTGAGGGTTGCTAGGGTGAAAAACCTTAAACACTTCCTGAGATGTTTCCCTTCTCCATCTTCAATGAATACAGTAGAGTTTAAGCAGTAATATTTTTTCCTGCAATAATTCTTATTCTTCCCTTTAAAAGCAAAATTCCTGTTAAATGAGCAATCAATTGTAGCAAATAGTTTTAGCTGGGAAAATTAGAAAATTATATACAATATGCTTTTTAAATAATTTAAGCTTCTAGTAAATCTTGTAT